TCTATCCGCAGCCTTCTCTGCGCATCTGACTTCTCGCTGACGCCACGGCGAAGATGCTGCTGGCCGACGAGAACGGACACAACGCCCCCTGGACGCTGTTTACCGCCGGCTTCATCGCAGGTACGTGGCGCCATCGGGTGGCCGCGAGAACAATCGGTGGGCGCCAGTATTTTTTCAGGAGAAGCTGTGGTTATTTTTCAGTGGGCCGTTGGATATGTTTTTTCCAATGGTTGGACACTTGTGGTATGTTTTTTTGAAGAATCTGCGCTGAATTGTACAGGGTCAGTGGGAATGCTTAGTTCCGTTACTATTAGGTTATTACGAAGAATTAGTACGAGTTTTATGTCCTTTTATACTGCGCACGACTTTAGCCGCTTCTGAAGTGGGATAGCTTTTAGTCGCGGGATAAGGCGTTTGTATACTGCGGCACGATTCCTATGCCGCTTTGAAGCGGGGATACTTGGGAGCGCGCGCGATATAGTCGTAGTTTATACTAGGCACGAGCTTGTAAGCCGGCTTCTGAAGCGGGCATACTTTTAGCTCGCGGATAAGTCGTTTTTATACTGACGTTAGCTCGGCGGTCTGAAACCAGACCTGAGACACCGCCTTGAGGTGGATTAACTTAGCTCGGGTAAGTGTTTTTTCGACCTTTTTTATACTGGGGGTTATTCCGCCTTCAGGTCGACCTGAGTGGGATAACCCTAGTATAAACGGCATTAGTTATTATAAGAAATCAGTAAGATTTATAATTTGACCAACATTTTGATGACTTGTCACTGAAGATCTTGCTGACATTGAAATGAGTGGTTGGTCCAAGTCAATTTCGCCGATTGTCAGTCATCTCCACGGACTGCTCGGTCCTGTTATGTAAAATTGTAGGTAGTGTTAATCACAATGCAAGCGATAAAAAACGAATCGTAATCAGAATCAAGGATAGTCAGACGCGATGACTTAAAAAAACGCAAAGAATACGAAATGTTAACGAATTAATACAGAACAAAACGGACAACCTGCGGCGATTTAATGCTTAGAGAACGAAAACGAACACGGAACGCCGCTCGTCGGGTGGACCGTGGACCACGCAGTCCTGCGTTCGCCGTCCGTAAACAATGTTGAACGTTTTGTTGCTAGGCATGCCGGCGTCGATACACACCGCATAACTCATGTCCGTCCTACCGTCACTGACCACACCCGCGGATGTCATCAAGACGCGGTTACAGGTGCAGGCTCGCGCCGGACAGACCGTCTACACGGAGTATCGACTGTGCTTCCGCGAAGATCTCTGGAGAGGAAGGCGGCAAGGCGTCTGGAAGGGCGTCCGGTATGTTTCTCTTGTCTTGCAGAGCCGGCGGCGTTCTGCCGGGTCGCTGCGGTTGGGGGAGACGAGACTTTTTGATCCTTCAGGCATCCTTGTTTGCTCTCGACGTATTCGGTTTTCTCGAGGGGCTGATGTTGATGTCGGCAGAATTTTTAATGTGGCTGTGTGATAGATTTGCAAGGGTCTTGTCTGTATGATCCAAGCGTATCATAGCTGCCCGCTTGTATGAATATCTAGATGTGACAGGAGTCTATCAAAGATGTAATAGATTATCTATATCAATCATCTAGATCCACGATAAATATTAGATATATATATATATAAAAGAGGGTGGGGTGTATAGTATTTGGTGTATAGTGAGCGTTAATTATGATCAGCAGGTAATAATAGCCTTATGTAGTTAGGGTAATATTATAAAGGTATTTTAGCTTGATTCGCTATATAATATATATATATATATTGATATATAGCGAGAGAGAGAGGACGGAGAGAGAGAGGAGAGAGCGAGAAGAGGAGAGAGTAGAGAGAGAGAAGATCTAATATGCAGCTGCGCAGTGGTGATTGAGATGTTGTTTGCTGGACTGCGGGTGTAGGACGAGGGTTCTGATCCTAGCTAGGTATGTACGGTATAAGCGTCGTGTGGATTCTCTCACACACAGCGCGCATGGTGCGTTAGTCCCGCAGTTTGGAGTAACCTGCGTTACCTACGAGTTTGTTTACAGCGAATGTTCTACGTGGATTTCGGTAGAAGGTAAGCGATTTGTCGTCCACTTGTTTCGTGTTCTCATTTCGATATATTTCAAGTGCGGGTATTTCTTATTACATAACTAAAGTCATCATTGGGTTGTCATGGCGGTCTGGTTCATCCGTGTATAGCTTATGCAATATAAACGTGTATTTCTGTTCTCATACTTCAGTTGCATGCTGTTCACTATGTAGATTGGTTTCCTCTCCTGAAAGTGTTATTATTCGACCTAAATTTCGTGGTGCCACTCCAACTTAGTCTGTTCACAGCCCGCGTCATTCCGCCGTCGTAGATCGACCGATCGTGGGTGTTTGTGGTGCCATTCCAACTCATCTTTTCACCAATGCGCGTTCCTTCCGCCGTCGTATAGTCGCATCGTGCTGTTCGGTATCGAACGTTCATGAGCGTGTTCATGAGCGTTGTTATGAGGCGTTGTTCATGAGCGTTGTTCATGAGCGTTGTTCAATGAATGTTTCTCCACGTTCGTTCCGTCGGCGCCGCCGGAAGGTTCGGACAAGATGCCGGAGCCATGAGGCCGGTCCCGCGTTTCGAGGAATCCGCCACCACACTCGGCCGGGTACATGGGCTAGCGGCTGGGCGACCTTCGACGGATAGAAACCAAGTTCGGAGCTTCAAAGTTGCGAGAGTTCCAGCTTGTCGCCCGCGTGGAAACAAGCGCTGTGATCAGTGCACACAGAGGATCCACTGTAGGCTAATTCTGGTGAAGACATGCGGCAGCTGTCAATTTCTCGCGGCACGCCGGTTTTTGAGTCCGTATGGCTAACGAGGTTATGTCGATGCCGTTTGTTCTGCCGGCGAATCTCCGCCAGTGCGAGGCTTCTGAGAAAACTGCTGTGTCGGCTCTCTATCCGGCAGCCGCACCTTGTTGGTAGAATCGCTTTCTTTTAGCGTCTGATAACTCGAGTTTGTTCTTCTTAGCATGTGATAGTTTTTTTGCTTGCACCCAGTCCCAGGCATTTCGCGTTGCCGGCATACTGCATGTATCCGCTTACCGTGAACGCTTCGAGCCCTGCCGACAGGTCGACGCCGACGGCAAGATTCACGTGCGTACGAATCAGGCAGGAAAAGAATCGGGCGTGGCCTATGCGGCGTCCAGATCTGTAAACGTTCAATGAGCCAATCGCCACGTGGCGCTTGCCACGAGCAAGCCGACCAGTATTGTTGCCACGGCGCACTAGCTATGCCGGCGGGTTCCGGGTTGTGAAAAAGAAACAGCAGGGGTTCGATCCCCCGCGCGTGGGCCTTTCCTTTGCCGTTTGAGCGTAGATTCCCGCGCTTTCCCTATCGATAGTTGTTGAAAGCGGCTGAGCGACGTCAAAGATTAGCAGCTTACTGGGTGGACCTAGAACGTAGCGACGACACCGACTCGAAAGAAAGGTGTTCGCTGAGCTTGTCTGGTGACTGGTGCGGTAGTGTCAAGTGTCGTTTGGCGCGGTCCCGTGATTGTCGTGTGGATAGCGTCAAGCGACTCGCTGGGCTGTCGGTGCACTGGTGGGTGGTGCAAGGTTCTGTTTGGGCGGCCGGTCGGTACGGTCGGGACCTGCTGTGGGCTAGGCTCGAGAAATGAGTCGCCGTTGGTGCGGTCGGTGACTGCTGTGGGGGCCTAGCGTCAAGGTCTTGGGCGCGTCGTTGATTAGAGTGGGTAGGTCACGGGGGTCGCTTTGCTGAATTATTGGCATCGTTATCGAACTTGGGGGAAGGAGGGAGTCCTTTTAAGCAATTCATTGTGGAGCTGAAACACGGCTCTGTTTATGGCATTTCTTTATTATATAATATAAATTTACAGTTATTATAGAGTATATTATGTACAGTAATGGGACTGTTATCGTGTGGCGAATAGAGAGGTAGCGGTTTGTTCAACGGCGGTGTGTTAGTGGGAGTGTTGGACCATTTAGTTGCAGTTTTGTGCCAGCACGATGTTCAGCTTGTTCAACCCCTCATTTCTCTTGTTTTGTGTTGATGTGATGGTGGCGGCATGCGTAGGTTTTCTCCCCTTGGATTTGCAATGCGCAGTGATGATTGCAGCGGTAGGAAGGTAAACTATCGATATCGGTTACGAATGTTGGTTGAGCAGTGTTGATTCTTCAAGCAGAGTGTACGCCTAACCAAGCCCGGCAGACACATCCACCAACATACCCTTTTCTCTTAAAATCGTAGATTACCAGTTTAAGGAAGCCGCAGCGATGACTATGTTCCTTTTAATTTAAATTTATTTTAATTTATTGCCAATTTTTTTTTAGCTGGGCAACAGCCCGCAAGCAGTTTCGTTTGTGTTTGAGTTTTACGCTTCACTCCGCTGGCAAGAAAGGTTGCATCGCACTTTGGATTGCCTGTTGGGGTTCTGGGATGGATGGTGCTTGGGGGACCTTTTATGACATTGTAGATAATGCCAGGACGAGTCCGTGTCTCGTGAATGTGAAAGTTTGTATTGTTCGGATCGTCTGTTGCCGCAAAGACCCGATTGTGGGACTGTGTGTGTTTGGTAGTGCGTGTGCTTGTGGGCTTTTTAGATAGATTTCATTCCTGTTTTCTTTTTTTAAATGTTTTTTATGTTTTAGAGGTTAGCTCGTTATGAATGCACTGCTTGGTAATGTGTAAACTCTTGCTGTCCTGTTTGGTTTCCTATCCAATTTAATACTTTCTATGTTTTTGGGTGAGTTGTTAGAAGATTGTTCAGAGATTAGTAGTCGAAATGGTTTGATGGTTATTGTTGTTAGCTGCAGCACTGAATTTGCAGCTTCTCGCGTGATCCAGGGGAATCCACTTCAGATTTCGTCTGGTTTTTACTCTTCGCTACTCAGCCGATCGCGAGTGTGAAACTGTGTCCGTCAACGCTTATCGTGTTTAAACTCGAATCTAAGCTAGTGTTAATTCTTGTTTTATTTTGGTGTATTCCTTTTTTTCGTATGTTATTTTTCGCTTGTCGGTCTGCGTGCTGTTGCGTCGATCTGAGCGTGTGTTTGCAGTGGCGTTAGTAGTTTGCCTGGATTTGCAGGTGAATATGCAGTCGAGCGGGTGACGGGGTCATCCTAGTCAGTGACTGATAGCATGGCCTGTTCGGCCGCTAGTTAGAGTAGATAGTGTGGTTGTTGAAAGTTTCACCAAGGGGGCAGCATGAAACATTCGATGTCTCTTCTCGCACCTTCCTCATTCGTTGATCTATAATGTGATCCCGAAACTGTTTTTCCACAACTTCACACTGTATCGTATTGCCGTTAGTAACACATGTCACCTGTAGGTTTTATATGTAGCTGCTGCTGCTGCACCTGTGGTCGCCATTTGATTTTTGGCTTTTCGTGCTCCTGTAAGAGGATTTCTCAGTGATGGTCGCACTGGCAGTTATTGTTGGCGTCGTGCATCACTAGTAACTGTGCCTTGTTGAGCGATGCAGTCAGGACACGCCCGGCCTTAAACTAAAATTGCACGATGGAAAATCGCGAGGTAGTGATAAAATCAGAATAAATAACTTTGATTAATCTCCAGTAGTATTCCACTCCTGATTAATAATCACGAGCGAATAATGTTGCCATCGATTACAACACGGCTTTCTATAAATGCACCAGGGCAGGAATTGCAGCGTTTAAACTATATATTGTTCAAGCGTGGAGCCACGGGGGGGATACTTTGTGGCTGTAATAAATGTGCGTCGAATGCTGTGTATGTAATGGGTCGCGGTTCCAAGAACTGGGTGCTGATTGCTTGGGATGGGCCTGGTCTTATCTACGGTGGTTATCAGAGAGGTCAGGGTAGATGAAACTGAGAGATGGTGGCGGCCACGGGAATTCCTATTTCTGAGGGGAGATGAGAAGTTCCTTGGCAATGAGAAAATGAGCTTGAGCTGTTTCATCGAACTAAGTTATGCGTAATGTTTTTTCTCTACGAAATGTATTATGATTTATGTCAGCCAGGTATGGCTCGACGAAGTTTGATGATTGGTTTGTTACTGTTTATTATAATATTGGTTTGGACAACCGTATAATGTACGTAAATAAATATAGAATTTTTTAAAAACTGAACTATGTTATTTTGGACGTTGTAATGATTTTGCGTTTGTCAAACTGTTACTTTCATATAGTCAACGACACGATTCGTCTTGGATTTTGCCGACATGGATGCTAGAATTATGTTACACATTGCTTTTGTCATTTCCAATGCATGAAATCCACGCCAGGCGGTCCCACAGTCCTTAAAGTCTTAAATTTGTTTTAATGTCCTGGAAATCCTTAAATTTTAGCTCACCTTGAATCCGTCAAGCTGAGCTATTGCCATGGGTTGTCCGTAGTCGTTCGTCCGTCAAATTGGCTACGGTCAACGACTAACTCAGGGAAACCGTTTGACCCACATGTTTCGAAATGGGTTAGTTGTTACTGCTATGTTCCCATAGATAAAAGTCCTATTTTTGGAGCACGCAGTCGACGTAGCTTCGGCCACTGGGCAATTGGTTTTTGGCAAAAAATTGTGGGAATTGCTATTAGTCAGTTCAGGTTACACGGATTTTGCTCATTTTTAGGTATGTGAATGAATAAGGGCTAGGGGTTTTGATATTTAAGAAAAAATGATGCAAATTGGGTAGGGTTTGGCAATTATATAGCATATTATATAGACACGCAGATAACAAACAGTCTGTGGTGTCACACTCGTCTGGTTCGTTTTACAAGATTTCATTGACAATATCTTTAATGCAAAATTTCTGCTATGAACATATTATGATTTATACTATTATTATTATATTATTATTATTATATAATGATTTATGCTAAGAAACATCAAAGCGGGTATAGCGCCATCTACCGTCACAAATTGTGATTCATATTTGTTTATAAATTATTTATTATTTATATATAATATTATTTATTATTTTCACATAAAAAATTACACATAATTATCAACAGTATATAATGAGAGTTCTCCCATATAATTATACTCTTCGTTTCTATAATGTGCGTCGATGGTTGCTCAATTAAAACTGACTTCTTCTCACTCACTCATTTGTGTCCTTTTTGTGGTGAGCTACAGTGTCATTGACACTCATTCCTTTTGTCATTGAAAGTTTTTGGAAATAGGTCCAAGTCCTTATTTTATGTCTATGTCTTGTGTCTAAAATGCTAAAACCACTTGTCACAGATTGTCATTGAAATAAACATATGTCCTTGAAGTCTTTGAAAAAATAATTCACACTTGTGGGAACCATGTACTGAGTAGGGCCTATAGGCCTACCTAGCAGTAATAATGTCCCATATAGAATCAACCATCACGAAAACTAAAGAAAAACAATATTAACCTTTTCATTCAATATCTGGTATTCTATATATTTCTATCTATCTATATCTGATATGTCTATCTATTTCTGTCTATCGAGTTATATGGTACTTTAATCTATATCCTATCAGATTATATTCTCTCGGGAATAAGTGATCCCCCTCTCATAAATGGTATCGCCTATGACCTCGTTGCATGGTGAAAAGTTAGCCAGGCAAATGGCTGGTTTTCAGCCTCAACTTTTCACACCCCCCCCCAAGCACAAAATATGATTATACGGCTATAATACGCGTTTCTACAGTCACACAACCACACATACACACACACTAACGGACGCGCACACGCGGGTAAAATTTCGGCTGAAATACGGTAATTTGGCTGGCAAACTTTTCACCCTGCGACTGATGCCGTGGACGATACTATCCGCGAGAGTGGAGTAAGGAAGTGAGCACGGGAAAGAAACGGAAAAAGCGGCGAGTATATAGCGCCCGAAAAAGAGAGAGAAATTGCGAGGGAGAGAGAGAGTAAGAGGGAGAGAGTGTGTATATGTATGTGTGTGTGTGCGTGCGTGTGTGCGTGCGTGCGTGAAGAGAAATATTGTGCTAGAGAAAGAGAGTGTGTGTGTGTGTGTGAGAGAGAGAGAGAGAGAGAGAGAGCGAGAGCGAGAGAGAGAGAGAGAGTGTGTGTGTGTGAGAGAGAGAGAGAGAGAGCGAGACACACGGAGAGGGAGAGGGTGAGCGGGAAGGCGAGAGAGGTAACTATATTAGAAAGAATATGTGCATCCGTGCCGGTGTGTGTGCCGTTTGTGCCGTACGTGCGTTTGTCTGCGCGTGTGTACTGTGCATGCGTGTGCACATCTCTGTTTGCATTCTTCCCTCCCTCTGTCCCTCTCTCCTTTTTCCCCTCTTTCTTTCCTCCTCCCCTCTCACTCCCTTCCCCTCAGTATTTCCCTCCCCCTCTCGAGGATAGTATCGCCCACGGCATCAGTTGCACGGTGAAAAGTTAGCCAAGCAAATGGCCGGTTTTCAGCCTCGACTTTTTCACCCCCCAAAGCACAAAATATGATTATACGGCTATAATACGTGTTTTTACAGTCACACAAACACATATACACACACACTAACGGACGCGCACACGCGGGTATGGTCGCATGCACGCGTACGCGTGTATTATAGGCGTAAATTCACATTTTGTGCCTCGGGGAGTAAAAAAGTTTCGGCTGAAATACGGCCATTTACCTGCAAAAGTTTTTCCATGCTTGACTGGTCGTGGGCGATACCATCCGCGCGAGGGGAGTAAGGAATAAGTGATTCACTGTTAATTTCTCTGCCTGACACAGCAGATGAAAGGTCATCATGAAGAACCGGCAACTGTTTATTATCATTATTAAATTTTTATTGCATGTAATACAACTACAAATACATGTACTGAAGTCTTTTTCATGGAGAAAAAATCTGATGAATGCAAAAGTGTTGAGCAGTTAAAATAATAAAATTTCGGAGTGATACAGTAGTCGGTAATCGGCGAGCTATAGCGGCTGTTTAATCTGCTGTCGGCACTCGTGTAAAACAACTATTTTTACTTCATATATGAATCGAAGTTATATATATGATGACTCTAAAAAGCAAAAACTACTTGTCACCAGATTGTGCTTGAAAAAAACATGTCCTTGAAATGTCCTTGAAAAAATAATTCACACTTTTGTGGGAACCATGCACGCAAACATAATCAAAAACAGTTCTTTGATTTTTTAAAGCGAATTCCTTTTATTTCCTGACATTCCTGACATTCTTTCTGTTTGCTTACGGGCAGGAAATTGTGCCAAAAATAGTACCAATATGCTTCAACACATTGACAGCACACATTGACAATACACTCGTGGAGCAGTGGAGTGACATGACCCCAGATTTGCCATCGTTTCGCAAGCAGCCAAAGCACGGAATGCCGTATATGCTGAGTATGAAGCTCTACTGGTGTATGCAAACACTAAACATGCGGCTGCACTGTCACAGGTTCCCTCGAAATGTAACCACCAAAATATAGTACGAAATAATATCAGCGTACGAGTTCAGCCGCGACCTGCGTCAGCAAAATACTCTAACAGTAATATATGTATATATATTATACCTATACAATACAATAAATATGAGGTATACATTTCTACAGTCACACACATCTGTTCACGCTTCTAATCGTACCACCTCACGCCACCGGTTGTGTTTTTAGATTGAGGGAAACAATAGCATAACACTTGAAATACCTACATATCCAATATAAAATCATAACAAAGATTAAAAAGCACATGCAATCACACAAAAACTACGAGAAAATGCCAACTTAACACAGAATTAAAAGTTATATCGTGGTAAAAATGACACCAATAGCTAGCTAGATACATTGCAAAATGTCAAGTGAGTGTCTTATAAAATAAAATCATCGTATAAAACAAAAACGATTCCAAATACGGATGATTCCAAATCGTAAATTCGTAGCGTGAAACTACTGAATGCATTGTCACAGTTGTGCACAGTTGGATAAACATATGGCCCACATTTCAAAACTTGTGACAAAACGAGCATCTATTGCCACATCACACACAACCACTTATAGTGAGACGAAGATATAACTAAAGATAACACACGAACGTAAAGACCTTTTATCCATGACTTTCCTCGATCGCTTAGTTAAATTATGCTTCACTGTAGTTTTCCCCACTAGACGTTGCAAAAAGCAAGTGCCACGACATTTTCTTGTTCGTTTGGGACACAATAACTAGCGAACTAACTGAAAAACAACACGCACAACTATGTGCACACTAAGACTAAAAACATATAGTATATGTATATGTATATGTAACAGTATATGTATTACGCTGTATTGTACATTAGATGTTGCAGTAAATGTAGATGTATGCTATACATATAATTCATGCTAAACACCGCTAAACATTATGCTTGGTACTTCAAATTCATGCTCATTACTTCACCTACCTCCAAACCTACTGGAGCATTTCAACTTCTCTGTTGTACTTTACAAAGTATTTCCAATAATGCCCACGCTATATGTTTCAGCACTCAATCCTAAATCTAATAGCAGCACAAACTAAATTCATTCGATTCTCAGCATATCTGTAGACATATAGAAAGGTATATATTGTTATTTTTATAATTTCTGTGGAAGGTCCTACCCGTGCACACCCTGCTAGTGAAGAGTTAAAAGACATGTAAATATGCATATATATACATGTTTATACATATATATAAGTGCGTTGAAGCAGTTAAACCTTTTGTGGCTAGCAGGAAATGGCAAGATGAAATGCAAATTTCACGCGGATAGAATCCGTACTAGCGATGCATCATTAACGGGGACGTCCGTATTTTACAAACAACCAGATCGAATTATCTCGTCTCTACCTAGCTTATGCCACAGACTTGCAAGTCACTCTCCCGTTTCATCCGAATCCCGGCTCGCGCGAAATTCCCAACATGGACGTCGCCGCCGCTGCACAGTGGCGCGCCCTGGCGGCTACGGCGTTTAGGAGATGTTCTTGGCGTCGCGCTGCATCGTGCTGTAGACGTTGAACGCGACGATGAGCAGGCAGAGCAGGATGGGGCCGATGATGGCGCCCTCTAGGCCGTAACACGTCATGCCGCCGACGATGGCGAGACCGGTCAAGTATGGGTGACCGCCGCTGTAAGAAACGCATGCGCCGAAAACATGGGGTTCAGTCTCGTTTTGTTTTGTTTTTTAGTTTTTTTGCCTTTAAAAACATAGTTTAAAAAATAAAAACTCTTCAGCAGGATGTCAATTTCAAAATCAAAAACTTTCAATTTCTAATAACTTTTCGTCTTTGAAAGTATAGTTAAAGAAAACAACTCTTCAGTGCGCGCTCGAGTTTAGCAATAAATACCAATCGAACTTTTTTTCGAAATTAATTTAACGTTTAGCTCCAGCGTCATTTAGCTAGCATGGACGTGATCATCCACGTTCCCAGACTCACCCCTTGATCTCGCTGTAGATGGCCGGGTCTACGATGGAGCTGGGAACGAAGTGCAGCAGGATCAGCAGGGCTGCATGTACGGGCTGACCGTGGACGAGCCACAGTTCGAGCGCGGCGGGCACGGCAGCGATGTAAGTGCCGAGAAACGGGATCGCCGCGAACACCGCCGCCATCACTGCAACGTGATAAACACCGTTAGGCGGGTCGGTTACGTACATCACACGTAGGGCACGCTGTCACAGGCAGGTGTTACACTGTCAAAAGTAAGTATAGAGAATATAGAAATACAGGGTATAATTATATGGTCTGGAAGTATAAGGTCAACCCTGCATTGGCGCACACCTCTGTAGGATGAACGCTTTTAGCATTTTGCTTTATATGGCAGTTACAGCACAGTGAAACCTCTTCTACAGAATGGATACATGTCTATACAGCACAATTTTGCAAGTTTCCCTCGAGTAACCTTGTTGTACAGGTTTGAGTACATGGGAACTTCTTACGCAGATGGTGCAGCTAGAAGACTTGCAATCTACTCTACCTGCTGGAATGAAGACTATGTTGATTCCGAAGATGGTGTGTGTCAGCCATGTGTAGAGAAAGTAAAATGCACACATCTTCATCGAGGCCATGAACACGCCACTGCAAGCAAAAAAAAACCATCACGCGTGATAGTCAACGATATCATTCTTTTTGAAACATATACCATTGATTTCTGACACATTTCTTTACTACTACTCTAAAGTCGCTCAGTTGCTCTCATAACAGATAGACTAAAAAGGTGCAACTCCCATACGTAGGAAAGCATATAACAGAATAATATGCCATCTCGTTAATATGTTCGTCTCACCTAATAGCTTCTTTGACAGCCTCTCCAATCTTGCTGCTGCCACCACTCTCGCCACCTGGTGACAGTCTTCCGAACCACGCGACGGGGAGGTAGACATCTCCGCTGGCACTGAGCAGGATGAGAAGCGTCGTGAAGAACACCATCTGGTGGCGAGAGGGAGAACTATATTCCACGGGCAGCCATATTTACCTCGACTTCTTATTCACGCAATCACCAATAGTAGGCGTTTCCTTCGCTAACATTACGTTCGGCATTGCAATTAAGTTAGTTAGTCATATACCAGAAAACCACACGGCAACATAGCATCCAATAATAATGATGAGGACACAAGAGCATCAAACTAACAACAATGTTAGACACAGATATCACATCAAGATTCTAGAAAGCAAAGTACGGTGATGTATCGCATGTGGTGACATGATGACAGAATTAACACCAAGGGTCGCTATGTGTAAAGTACTTACTATGGACAAGCAGAAATGTAGGAAAGTGAGTCCACCCTTCAACACCTAAGAGACAAACATTTCATGCGGGGACATGCAATGAATCAACGATCTGACTGAATGCCTACACTTAACGTGCAATACAATACAAATTGCAGCAAGTATTTTCTTCAAATTACAAGCGAAATGTTAGTGGTTACAACGCAAGCATTGCGTTTGCACTTTTGCATCTGTAGCAGGCAAAGCTTTCATGCATTTAGATTCACATCAACCGCGTTTCATTCATTTGATATGTATAAAAAAAGGGGAAAGTTGCAACCGTAACGCGTACAATGTCTTTTACTTTTACTTTTGTTTTTACTTTTACAATTTACTTACGCAATTTGTACTGCAGACAAATCACAGACAGGGCTCACCCTTACACTAACAAACTATCGTCGTGCTTCGCGGCAAAGCATTGTCATGCACACTGCAGAGCACACGCTGTGGTGGTAAGAACGACGTGACAGAATCACGAGCGACTCTGCGAACAGACACGCCACGCTTGCACAGACGGAGTTCAACAACGCGTCACACTCACCACTGACAGCAGGATGTTGAGCAGAGCGGTGCCGCCACCTAGCACGAGCGAGACGACGGAGGTGACCGATCCCAGCAGGATGTTGATATTGTTCATGATGACAACCCAGACCGACTCCAGCACCTGCGACGACAGAGAAAACAATGCCAGCGATGACTTCTAATGCATAAAACGTCGCTCGAACCGCGAAGGAACACGCCGTGAGAAAGTTACGCATCGGCAATAACTCTCTAACTAACAAACAAATCTAGAAAGGATAACTTTGCTTACAGATCGGTTTGCCACTTGAAATATTAAAGAACGCAAGACTTGTGAGTTACATATTGAAAATAATTCATCTAGAAAGGATAAACCACAACATGGCTAAATCAGTGTGCCACTAGAATTATTAAAGAATGCAAGACGTGTGAGTTATATATTGAAAATTATTCGTCTAGAAAGACCAACAGGTAGCACGTCCGACAGTTGGAACAGGCGGACAGACAGACTGACAAAACTCTGACAGGGTGTGCATCCCCGTGCCAAGGGCGTAGCCAGGAATTTGGATTGGGGGGGTCCTCAAGCGAGTAACAAGAGGGGAGGGTCAGATCTGGTGGTCTGAAATTTTTTTTTTTAGTTAAATGTAAAGATAGTGCTTTAAAATCAATTTAGACGCTGTTTTGTTGACAATACTATTTCTTCTGCAGCTCTTTTTTTTATTTTTGTTTGGATCAATTTTTATTTTTTATTTTGATGTTGATTGGGGGGTCCTTGCCCCCCACCCTGGCTACGCCGCTTTGCCCGTACTTCACGACCAGCAGCTGGGCGTGTTCTTTACGGTTTTTCTCTCCCTGTACGACCGCCGACAGCATGTCGTTAAGCTGTAGCTGACCGATGTACTTCACCACTGTCCCACCGTCTGGGCCCGTACCCAACGGACGACTAATGTCACGCCCCGCGGGGCTCGCCAACCCACCGACTGATCCTGTCGACTCGACCGACGAAAACAAGCGTAGAAAATCACAATATTGACAAAAGAAACATGCGAAATTAACTGTACGAGAGGTATCGACAACTTCATGCGGAAACAGAAACTCAAAAACACCTCAAACACTCAGGGCTACATGTGTAACCACCTGACTGAATTCTGTCGACAACGAAACCAGCGTAGGGAAATCAACAATATGACAATAAGACCATCATGGCGATTAACTGTCGAGCAGATTGCACGACTCTGCGAAACAGAAACTCAAAACACCTCAAAGACTCTCAGAGCTCCAACCAGCCGACTAAGATTCTGTCGACGACAAAAAATGTCGACGTAAAAAGACTATATAATATTTATAAATTCTAAATTATAAGATATAATTTATAATTATATATATTTATTAATTATAAGATATAAGCTTGCGTGAAAACCGTCGAGAGATCGCGACTTCTGCGAAACCAAAACTCGAAAGTGCATCTCTTCAGACAGGACTCAGAGAAACCTACCCTGGTTACCCGAGAGCGTTGAGGTGTGATGAGTGCTCGCCTGGTTAGCCCGGAGGACTTTATAAGTGGTAAAGCGCACTTTTGCGGCTGGGGTGCGCCGGGTAGTTGCGAGGTGGAGAGAGAGCGCTTGTAGCCGTGAGGTGTGAGCGCGGGGAGGGAGTTGTGAGAGTGGGGTGTACGGGGAGGGTGCGGAGTGAGGAGCGTGAGGGCCGCTGGGTGTAGCGCTCGAGAGCTCGAGTGGAAGAGAGCGTGCCGTGGGGTGGTGACCCAGGGAGCGTCGTGAGGGAGAAGGGGCCTTAGAGCGTGGTGTCGCCCAGGACTCAGAGAAACCTACCCTGGTTACCCAGGACTTAGAGAAACCTACCCTGGTTACCCAGGACTCGTAAAGCTTGTCCCAGATCTGTAAGATTGCATCCTCTATCTTTGCTACGTCCATCTCTTCCTTGCCGTGTTGAGACATGAGACTGTGCACCTATAGTAGTGAAGCATTAGATAACATCCCTGCAGCTTCTCACAGAGATTCAGGGTGATACTCCATTAGGAGTGTTCCCAACTTTAATGTCATTAATGGTCATAATAACATATATATATATATATATGGTCATGGTCATATATTAGTTTGTGGTTTAATGTCATTTAGGTTAGGGTTAGGGTTAGGATTAGGGTTAGGATTATCAATCATTAATCATTAATCATTAATGATATCAAAGTTGGGAACACTCCTAATGGAGCGTTAGCCGAGATTCGGATACATATTATACTGACTACAAGCTTGCTTTTTATACTTTTGATTGTGACTACAAAAACAAACAAGGTTTGCTAATGACAGGCACACTGTAAAAATTATTTCAACATAGAAAACTATGAGAATATGACCATAACTATAAGTTATATTGATTATAGTAACTCTAGTAGAAAAACTCTAAAACTCGTGAATGAAAACTGATGAAGGGTGTTTGGTGGATATAGGACCTTACGTTCGTGGCAATCCATTGTCGGCCATGTACATAAGCGCTATCCACGGCTGATTCCATGTGCTTCTCCATTTCACTGCGCTCTGGAAGCCACCTGGTGGACAACAAGTAAACATTTTAACATACATCGATAATATTTATCAATTTCGCATTTTTCAGTGAGCATGTACGATGCCAAACTTTAACAAATGCAGAACTCACTGGCTCAGGCTGGGTTGTCTCTGCACCGTTTCGTTAAGGAAAGTACCGGTCACCGTCACAAGATGGACGCTTTCCGAATGTACCTAGGTAAACAAGAGAACAACTGGTCACATAGCACTAAAGTACTACGCCACGTGGTAAACAATTCACCTATGCATCCAATATACGAAACAAGACTTAACAAAAATAGTACTGAAAACAATAATATATAATTATAACGACGACAACGAACGAAATGAAATAGGATTATACAATCAAACGTGAAATTTAACATTCCGTCAGCTCTAACATGTTTGGCATATATTGCCAAATACATACATATATATATATATATCATAATATATATGATATATAATGAATATATATCATGAAATTTAACATAAGCTCTGACATATTTGGCAGTTACCTGGAACGCGAGGAGAATGGTCCCGAGGGTGGTGACGATGAACAGAACAGCGATGGAGACAATGCTCATGTACTGGTCCACCATGCTGTAGAGTCCCTCTATAACCTGCCATCAACCAACACCACACATCAAGATGCGAGATGATGACCTCTCCCTCCCACACCAACTTTAATAAATCTAATGTAACATAATAATATATATTCTGTGTGAGTGGGGAACAATACTGAATAGCATAAAACGCTCTGCACTTTACTATACAACATGCCCTGTATACATGTATCTTGTAAAATAAAATGTACAACATAACTCTGTATAAAAAAAAACATGTACCGAAACATTGTAAATCATGAGTGGCTACCCGGACACTCAGGATAATTGTAACGGGTAAAGTGGTCAGAATAAAAAAAAAGGAAAAAAAGATGCAAGATGACGTGTGCGATTGCATAGCTCAAGGAGTTAGAAGAAAAGTTAGAAGTTCGTAGATTCATAGCAGCAATAGCAGTTCATAGTCACAAGCTCTCAATCATTATTTCATCGATCATTTCATAGTTTATAACGTGTCAGTAGTTAATTGGAACTATTTAACCTATTTGGGATCACTGAATAACAGCACTCAATTGATAATTTCGGGGTAATAGATATAAACTATAGATATAATATTCGACATAAACTACGATTCAGTCTGATACGATACAGATTGGTGATGAAACATAGGAAGCTGATTTCCCTTTCTCTGTGGAATTCTCAATCAGTGCAGAATGAGTGTGTGTTAGACTATGACAGTGGTTCTTAACCTTTTTGGCCCTTACGACCCCATCAGACATTCTTGGTCAGTACCGCGAACCCCAAAAAAAAATTTGAAAAAAAACAGCCTGATTTATGGAAACACGTCTGCCAATACTCAGTAAATGGGATGGCTGAAATTGCTTCGCAGCCAACAGGCGATCAAAAAAAAATTCCCACAAGTGCTTTGGGCTTGTGGGCAACCAAATTTATGAATCAAATTTTGTAGCACCCTGACAATTATATAGAATTTCCATGGATTTGTTTCATTTATGACCCCTTGATGACCCCCGGAAAAACCCCAAACGACCCCATGGGGGTTACGACCTCCAGGTTAAAAACCGCTGGACTAGGATGACTATACGTACCTTCTTGTCCCCCTTTACAAGCATCTTGGTGAGGCCCCGGATGGGTTTAGGCATCAGTCCATCTTTCCTCTCATCTACCCACTCATGTAGTCTGTCCCTGAGGCAGCCGAGTTTCTTCTGGATGCAGCTCCACAGCTCAAAGTACGACCCTGAGGTAATTAATGCACGCCCATCTCAGTCGGATTGTACACATTTAGATGGCGCTATACTTGCACGTGTGCACGCATCAACCCATACGAACGTCACTTCAGCTCAGAGGAATACAATCCAATTAATGTGCAATCTGTCACATTAATACAACACTAATGTCGAAATAACTGAAATAACTTCGTCAGACATTTACGCAATCGTCCCCGATTTTCGCAACGAGGCTTCCGATCACGTAGCACGCCATTATCGATACAGCAACTCAATTCAATTCAATATACTTTATTTACGCTTATGAATTACATTTTGGAGGAAGCATATCAGTTAAACAAATCAATAGATAATGCTGATAAATGTAAACAAACAAAACTAAACAAATAGAAGTGATGAAGGGCGAAACACAATACAGCCAGTGTCGAGATTGTGTGGACCAAGCTATTGACCACTACACCATCTGGTGGTCAAAACTGATAATCATCAGTCAACTTTGAGAAAGCCTCCTGATATGAGGCGAAACGTCAGCTGTACGTTTTCAATCTTCACGGTTGAGTAACAATGAACCCAGTTAGATCTATTAGTCTACCAACCGAATGAACTTATTTAATGAGAGATGCCTAGGCCACCTTTAAAAAAGTTGTTTGTTTCCCCTTTACCTACTCGCCTCTCATGGTACCGAGTAGGTAGGTAGGTGGAAAATCTTTTTTATTTTGTTTTGACAAGATGTGTGTATGTATATTGTATATTCTGTTTTGTGTATATGTTTTTGTGCGGAACGAATTTGATTTTTTTTTTGTGCAAAACGAAATAAATTTTGTTTTGTTTTAATCGGCCCATAAAATGTGTCGAGTAGCGGCGTTTTGGCGAGTCGGTCGGTAAAGGGGAAACAAGCAATATTTTATCTTAGGCCCTACCTATTCGCTTGACGGCGACGATGGTGACGGGTATGGGCAGCAGGTACACGACCCACAGATGCCTCCAGAGCTGTGCGAGGAGCAATCCCCAGAACACTGCGAGAAAGCACGTCTCCACGGTCGACCTCTCCACGACCTCGCCCGCCTCCTGCTGCTCTCCGCTGGACACTTCCACAACGTTCTCATCATCACTGTCAGCCGCCTCTGTTTCGGCTTTCTGGAAATATATATATATATATATATATATATATAAAGAGAGAGAGAAAGAGAGAGAGAGAGAGAGAGAAAGAAATAGAAAGAGAGAAATTGGTGGTGTCATATGATTAAGGGAGAATCATAGACGAAAACAAGGTAAAGTTTGAATATATTTATTCACTTATTGATAGAATATTTACAAGTTGAAAACTATGCAAAACGCTGTTAAAACGGTGTCATACTCTTCTCTATTATGAGCTCTTGATATATATATATATATATATACCATTTAATTGCATTTCATTACAAGCAAAATTGTATGGAGGATTCTTTGGTAGTGTATACAAATGTTTGACTTGCTTGTCTGAAATGTGGGTGTCATGAACTTCATTTACTCTACTACGGATGATGATTATGCTTTACTTCTACTAACGCATAATAACATTATGTAGTCATTGTATCCCACGTTGCAACTATCACGAAGGAGATATATTTCCAGATAGCTATGGATAGACCATTCCCGAACCAAGCACGTGAATTAATGAGTTTTAGTTATTCATTTCGCTCGCAAGACTTGACTTCAGTTGTTTGCACTTCCTTTTTACTGGCGCTATAATATAGGTTGATGAATGCTCACTTGTTCTCGCTCAGCCTCCTTCTCAGGTTGGGTTGTCACTGCCTCCCAGACAGCCCTCAGTGTCTCAGGAACCTTGCTGGTTGCATTGCTGCTGCTGCCACCTATAGGAACACAACGACAATTATGATACGTGACTTTGCAATAGGCAACAACTGTGCAACCAGACAGCATATTCAACTTATATCCATATAAATATGTAAATAACAGAAGTAATAGATGCTGTACCGGTAGAGTATGTAATTCCGACACGAAACAGTAGTCATAGCGAGTAGTACATTTTACTGCGATGCAACTTTTCAAGGCACTTGTCCATATAGACATGTGATACCCATCCCGGGCACTTGGCTGCCTGGCAGACACGGCTGTACACCAGAGAATCATTGTGATTGCAAAACGAACTGCTAACAGTTGAACCACTAGTCTTACTATACAGGTTATCATCGAGTTAGCTACAAGCATTGACATACGACATTAAAGTGCCATCCACTATCATCAGGAGTATCATAATATAGATGACCTATGACTGTGTCTATATATTATGATATTCCTGATACAATCCTCAGCCTCACCCTATTCGATTACCTAAGCTCATTGCTGTATATTGCCATTCAGCTATATAGACATGCTAAGCTTTGCTAGGAAAGCTAATCTCATTATTGAGACATCATTAGAATGAGGATGCACACTCATGAACATGCCGGCACACGAGGGGCAGGGCCACGGTTTATCGTTAATAAGCGAGGAAGTGGATGTATCATACCAACACATATCGGTGTCGGTCCTACATTGCTGCCTGGCATCATAATAAATGAATCAACTGTTAAATTCATCAGCGAAACCTTATCAACAATACCACAAACATTCCTACACCGCTACGTATGTATAGATGCGTTTATGATGGTAATATAGCACGACAGTTCCAATGCAATCATGCAAGTTTTTTGTTGTGAATTCAACTGGGAAAAACAACTAAACCACAAGTTGCACCAACACATGCATATTTCAACACACACGAAAAACACATTCATTGTCATTAAAGATTTACAATAATTAATTCAATGGGGGATATCGGCAGATTTATACGTAACCCTGCTGTTACTCATTGCAAACGGTAATCCTGAAATGCACACAGTTAGTATAGGTAATTATTTGTTCAGTCAATAGCTATTTGTTAGTTCACTGCTAATAAACACAACCTCTTCTTTGTACCTTCCAGCTGAAGTTTCTTCCAAATCATTCTGCGATTCCCTAAAATATGATTGGTCGTCTATAAAAAGCTTAGCATATTCACGTAAGCATATATAATTGCAATTGGCATACCAAATGTAAGAAAGTGGCCACTATATAACACGAATATACACTTAATTCATACTAGATCATAATTTAGTGTTGGCGAAATGATGGAACAACGTTTCTCTTCAGAAACAAGTGAACATACCCTCGTCATCGACGGTCGTCGTGGCGTCCCTCAATTCTGTCACGAAGCCCACAACCAGCAAGGTCACGAGGAAAATGAACAGCGGAACCCTGGAGGTGATGAAAGTAAACATTGTGAAGACAAGCTCATCAGAGGCAAGGCGATTTCTCATTCTGACTCAGACAATTACTTTTATACTATTTCCGCGGTTCATCAGGCAAGAATTTGGTTCATCATATAGAGAAGTTCATCGGACGCAAAACGATTTTCTCATTCTGATACAGACTCTCTTACTTTTATACTATTTCCGCGGTTCCTCAGGCAAGAAGTTGGTTCATCATATAGAAAAGTTCATCAGATGTCAGAGTCAGACGATTTTCTCATTCTGATACAGAGGTCTACTTTTACAATATTTTCGAGGTTCATCATGCAAGAAATTGAACCCGGATTTCTGCATCTGCTCTCATGTATACTTATGTGGATGCTAGCAAAATGATGACAGGAGAGATATGGGTATGAACTCACATACCTGTAGGCTCCAGCGATGGTTGCAAGGTGGAATAGCACAGCGATCCACACCACCAGCGAAACATGGCGCAGGATGTTGCTGGATGCTTTGTTCCAGTAGAAAATCACCACCAGAACGTAAGCAATGACCAGAGTCCATACCTGCTCATCAAGCATGAAATCCATCAATCAGTAGCCGCATGAAAGGTTGGCATAGACATTACGTTCAAATTCGAATGCTTGCGCCTTGAAAGGCCTATTAGCAGTTTTAAACAAATTTCTTATAGTTTATATACATGTACTCCTAGATTCAAAGGATGCTCTGATAGGTTCATAACTACACATCGGTTGTATATACTACATGTATCAACATACTATTGTTGTATCAACACATACAATCATTACAATCAATACAATCAAATACGAACGTACGATCGTACGTACGATCGTAAATCGTAAATATTAATATATTTGTAATAATTATTATAATAATTATTAATAAATAATAATAATAATAATATAAATATAAAATAATAATATAATAATAATAAATATTAGTAATAATAATATATTAGTAATAATATATTAGTAAATATTAAAAGTATACGTAAATCGTACGTACGATCAAATACGATCATTATATGTATCAACACAACTACTGTTGTATCAACATACTAAACGAATGGTTGTGTTACGTCTGCAAACTCTCAACAACATCAATTGCTCTATCGGAAAGACCTTGACATCTAGATTTTTATTGGGTGACGAAATTAACGTATCATGACAGATGACATGCTGCTGCATTTAGATTTACCCGTATATCCTCACCCATACAAACTCACCCAGAGGGCACTGAAATACCCCAGAGCGTCATACACGAAACCGAAGATGGCTTGACCAACAGACAGCAGATAGGTGACCGATGCGATGTAGTAGAGAAGATAGAGACCGATGATGGCTATAAATCGTAACCAGAAATTCCAGCTACACTCACCATAAGTATCACTCTCAGAGAAATGCTAGTCGTATTACGATTTCACGTCGAATTGCAAATGCTAGACGAATTACGATTTCATGCCGAATTGTGATTCTAATGCATATTTATCCGTAATCATTTTGTGAAAACCAAGGTTTGTGTACACGAGTAACTTGTAGCAAGAACAGTGACAGTTGGACTCACCTAGAGCAGCCAGAAGAATATGTTTCAGATGCTGCAGGATGGTACCACCTATAACCTCAGACACACGGTCAATTATCTGCAAAACATCGAATATCGATATTTTTCATGCAAATTGCACCTACAAAGTTACATTACATATAAAAACGGAATGCTAGTCAGAGATTTAGAAATGCATTCACAATGCAAAAAGAGTGCACAAATAAGATGGGAACATATAATTATTAAGCCATTCCCTCCTCTTCCTCCCTTTTTTAATATAACTATGTACACACTCTGTGTATTGAGATTGACAAACTGATATAAAGATTCACTGACAACAGTTGTTTTGAACGCAGGCCAACTATATAGCACAGACCCTGCATATAAGACATATGGCAGCAGCCACTGACCTCCACCCTATGTGCTACTACTACTACATGCTATCCACTACAAGTTCCAGAACTATAAGCCCTGGACTGTTTCATGGAGCCTCTGGTCAAACGAAGACTGCCCTACTCACACATACTCTTAAAATAGAGTAGGAATCCTGTTAGAGTTTCAGTGGCTCTAGCTGGCTACACACCAGACTATGTTATTTATAGTTGGCAAGCCTGGCCCCACACAGATATTAGATTTCTGCTCGTGTAGTGAAAACAAACAGCATGCATGGAGCGCATGTGGATGGGCGTGTCCTCATGGCAGCCTTGCGTATTCATATTTACAGAAATGTCCAACTCTTATCGGGCCTAAATAGAGTAAATTTGTAAACCCTAGAACTCCAGATAAGTTGTTGTTGTGTACATATAATGCTTACATGCTACAATGTATATATGCCCAAAACACTTAACTGGGTTCAACACACATTTGCATTTCTTTGTCTTCAAATATATGTTATGTGAGCTGTTAAAGTGATTACGTCACCGTAAATAATAAAAATATCACTTTTTCACAAAACATAAGTGATTCTGTTCACTTTTTATGCGTTAAATTGCTGCATTATACTTCTTATTTTACTTATATTGTTCGATGTGAACAGACACTCGTGACTCATACATAGCCATAGCAAGCAATAATGTTATGAAACACTAATATCAAATCTTCCAAGTTTTTTAGATTTTTTAGCTAGTTGAGAAACAATCTTATCAGGTAAAAATTTGACGATACGTTTAGTCGCCGTTAGTTCTTACTTTTAATGTAAAAAAATGGCAACAAAAATTTTACAAATTTTACCATCGAAAATTTCGTGACATAGTCACTTTAGGACCATGAAGGTGTAAAACATATCAACATATAAATTTAATAGGGAAATGCCCCCCCCCGGCCATAATTTTTTGTTTTAACTTTTCTGCTTTAGATTTATACATACAGACATTGTGTAACTATATGCAACACACCATGTATAGCTTACCGTATTGGAACCAGTAAACAGGCCTACGATAAAGGGTAGACCACGTCCTAACGTCTGAAGCCATCCACGTACCAGCAGGGTTAACGAATTTTGAAAGATGCAAATCGTTCCACATAACACGGCCCATAACAGTGGCTTCAAAAACGCCTCGAGAACAAAATAGGTTGCAAGTGCAGCTACCACCAACACAGACCAACAGCCACCGTAGCAGCTGTATTTGTAAAATGCTGCTGCAGAGACCTTTTTCGTGCCCGACTGGAATAAAACTGCTAACCCGATCAACAAACTTCGGTCTCTCCACGGAGGCTGCCATCTTCGTTTCAGCTTTGGCGCAACCGTCGCATTTTCACGCCAGCGAATGGAAAACGACCTGCACATGAAACGTTTACACCAATGAGCAAACTGGTATTTACCTGCTAATCTGCATATATGATAAGATATCTAGTATAGGCACACATTTTACTACATCCCTTGTATTTTGTATGTGATCGACAAACACTTACAATACAATACACGATATTTGCTTGAAATAAGTAAGACTGACTGTCGACCGAGTCAGTTACTCAGAGTCAGAGTAATAACGCTTTTATCGCACCTGCATGGCAACCAACGGGGAGGCAAGCGCGAATTAAACGGAACAGCCATACACAGGTGAGCGAAACATGGCGGTTGTTTTGCGGTTTAGCTGCGTGTGCTTGTAGTGCAATAACACAATTAAATATTTCGTGTACTGGGCTTTGATTTGCAAGAACTATGAAAGGTGCGTGAATGTGTCAATGCTTACATGAATTCGGGGGTAACAAGGTGACTAAGCAGGGCGAGATCAGGTGAGACATAATTATCTCTGAGTGCTGTGATCGATGGGTGATCAATGGGATGCCGAATCGTACTCAAGCTATCAGTATCATGCTATATTGCTATTAGCATGCTAATCATAATCATGCATATATTATAGGCCGCAGGGGCGTAGCTACGGGGGGGGCGCTGGGGGGGACGACGCCCCCACAAATTTTCTGTCCCCCCAGGTGCCCCCCCCCACTGAAAATTCATGCTTGGATAAAAAAAAAATTTGAATAAAAACAATGCCGTTAGAACAGTATAATACAAAAGAAAAGATTATATTGTGCACCCCCCCACGAAAATGTAGGGCCCCCAGTGCCCCCCCCCCCCGCTGAAAAAAATCATAGCTACGCCACTGTATAGGCCTATATAGCTTATGCATGGTTATTGTTAGCGTTATGGTGATAGGTTATGGTGATGGGGTTATAGTGTTGGGGACCTGGCCCGGGGTACGGCGGTAGGTTTATTACCTCTGCGCAACGGAGGTCATGTAATCGGTCTCGTGTGTGTGTTCGTGTGTGTGTGTGTCCAGTCCGCGCGGCGCGATCGATAGCGCGTCGAGTCAGCGAGCGGTGAGTCAGCAGCAGGCGAGTGAGTCGGCAGCAACCACCAGCGAGCGGCGAGTCAGCAGCAGGCGAGTAAGTCAGCAGCAGCCAGCAGCGAGCGGCGAGCCAGCTCGTAACACATACATGTTACATGCTGGCGAAGGTATGCACTCTCCGTGAGTGCCCTCTGTCTAGTTAGTATTGACATTGTACTTGTAGATTTGTTATTTCTAATACTGATAGTGTTATGGTGATCGGTGATGATGTATGTTGATATAGTATAGTTACATTAGTATAGTATAGTGATCATGTAGGGGAATCCCGTAGTGAAAATACGCGCACGCACGCACGCACACACACACATACTGGTTAGGGTTACTGGTTAGGGTTAGGGTTACTATACTGGTTAGGTTTAGGGTTAGGGTTTTTGCATCATTCCTTGATATACGGAAAGTCTGTGCATCAGTTGATGATACACAGAAATCTGTGCATCAGTTGATGATACACAGAAATCTATGCATCACTTCGTGATACCTAAGGTGCCTAAAGTGGATTTGCACCCTTCCTTCCTCCTCAACTTCTCATCTCCTTCTCACCCACCGCGTGACTTCTTCCACTTTTCCCTGCCATCCTCCCTGATCCACCTTCTTCTCATTAATCATATCTTCTACTTTATAACCTAGCACCAACCTGGTACTCCACTACCTTGGCCCTCCCACTCCCCTCCTACGTGGGCCTCCCTCATTTACCTCATCTTTTCTCATTCTCTACCTCCTCCCTTCCCAATCTCTCATCGCTATCTTCATTCACATCACATTCACTTCACCTCACATCCTCACTAAATTTTTCTCTCCTCCCCACACATCACCGATGCCTGATTGTATTCCACTCAGTGGCGTAGCTAGGTTTTTTCAGCAGGGGGGGGGGCACTGGGGGCCTTACATTCGGGGGGGGGCACAATATATCACTTTTCTTTGTATTATACTGTTCTAACGGCATTGTTTTTAATTCAATTTTTTTTTTATCAAGCATGAATTTTCAGTGGGGGGGGCCCTGGGGGGCACAGAAAATTTGTGGGGGGGAGGCACGTTCCCCCCCCAGGCCCCCCGTAGCTACGCCCCTGATTCCACTCCAGTATATTTAGAAGCAAACGATTTTTTAACAAGTCTGTATTGCTATCTATTCCTACACGCGGCCGCACCGCTGTGATGTTTCTGTGTGCATATGGTAAATACTGTGGACAGATTTGTTTCGCAGTGTTTACTGAGGTATGTTTTTACGGTTGGTGCATGTTCTATAAGCCTTGGTTTGGCCCCTTCAGGGCTTTCTCACGCTCAGTAAGGCTTACAGATGTAATCGGATCACGGTTTCACAATTTATAATAATTTTACTATAATAGCATTATAATATAAGGAAGTGGATGTTTGTGCATGTATTTGTCCACCTACAACTCAGAAAGTGATAAACTAATATTTAGCTTTAAATTTAAATGTATTTTATTATAACTAGCACATGAATTTCGTCAGGGGTAGAATTCTAATTATGTTGTTGTGTAGTAGTTTGTTATATTGTACATATATATACATACAATACGAAGCTGCCAAAAAGAGAGCATGAATGAAGGAGAAAACTAGATAAGAGAGGTATGGTCTATGTTTAGTTTTGCCTCTCGATAGGTATTCGACCCAGAACAGAACCCTCGACGTATATTACCAAGAACTGAAACTGAAACTGAAAGACTGCTCGTTCATTTCTGTGAATGGATACTGAAACAGTTAACTCGTGCCTTGTGAATGGGGAGTAAAAAATGAGAGGCAGGTTTTTGATATGGTCGCTTGGAAGGAAGGCCGGGAGAGGAGGAGTTGTTTAGTTTGCACAGTAGCGGCCGCTCGCAAACCTGTTCTGTCTGTGAACGCACGAGAGCAAGAATTCATAGCGTAAAAACCGACCGGCGAAATTATACGTTTCGGCGTAAAAACTGGTCGCGTATGAATGCCGGATGGTGGCTAATGATTCGGGCGTGCTGATATTGTCCCCTTTCACTGGCCGCCGGCTTTCACCTGCTTGCTTTTCAGCGTGGCAACCGTGATGAGAGTGACAAATTTTTGAAAGGCTCGCACCTCTCGCGCGACTGGGGCGGGCATTCGATTTAATTGGATTTTTAGCGAAATGCGTGTGATTTTTTACGCGGTTGGAAAATGAGCAAGGCGCGTTTAGTTGTCAACACGCTGGCTACCATATGGCGGTTGCAGCTTACTGTTTAGAGTTTGAGTCAGCTACTGTATTAGTTGTGACTCATTGTAAATAGTATGTGTTCAGAAGTGCCTTTTAAACGGTGTGATTAGAGTTGTGTCTGAGTTTTCACGTGTAATTTAGAACACGTTGGCGCTTTCTCTCAGCTCTGGCAGTTGCTTGACCTGATACCACTGCGCCGCAAGGCCCCCTAGCTCATACAAATACATGTGGGAAACTTTTTCGCGTATTAGTTAACTCTTTGTCTGTAGTTATTCATGCGGTAGTGGGGTTATACTTTTTTTAGTAGAATAATCACTTGTAATGTTATAATATCAGGATAATATCACATCGAATATATGTTTATGCAGTGTTTCACCACAATCGTCAAACTGTTTGTGATTGGGGACAGAGCTGAGAGGTGAACCATATCGTAACTGAGACGCGAGGTTTTTTCGATGGAAGGAACGCGGGCAAGTTACCGGCTGTTATGTGAACGAACGATGTGTACCCGTGATGCTATTGCTCAAGGTCTTACAGGGGAGCCTGTGCTTTGATGTTGGGCTCCGAGCCGTCCCTTACACTCTTGAGTCAACACACCCACTCACCTGACAACACAGGTGCCTCTCATGGCAGCCCTGTTTATCTGCTGAGTGCTCGGATAAATGCTGCTTTCTCACGTGTGTTGACACATAGTTTAATTATTTGCTGCACTCTGCCTACACAGGTGTAAACCCGTCTGTATTGACCTGATGATGCACCAGGTACCTTCCTGCCATGCCTGCATGTTGCTTTGCGTTAGACACCAGGGACCTTCCTGTCATGCCTGGTGCTATTGTGTTAGATATTAGAGGGGTTCCTGCCATGGCCTGGCGCTAGTGTGTTAGATATTAGAGGGTCCTGGCCATGCTGGTGCTATGATCTGTTAGATATATAGAGGCGGTTCCTGCCATGACCTTGGTTGCTCTTTGTTAGATATTAGAGGGGTTCCTGATGCTTGGTGCTATGTGGCTTAGAGGATTAGAGAGGGTTCACTGCCATGCCTGGCGCTATGTGTTTAGATATTGAGAAGGGGTTCCTGCCATGCCTGGTGCTCTGTGTTAGATATTAGAGGGGTTCCTGCCATGTCTGATGCTCTGTGTTAGATATTAGAGGGGTTCCTGCCATGCCTGGTGCTATGTGTTAGATATTAGAGGAGGTTCCTGCCCATGCCTTGGTGCCTCTGTGTTAGTGATATGTAAGGCGGTTCCTGTCGATGCTTTGGTGCTATTGCTAGATTATTAGAGGGTTCCTTCATGCCTGGTGCTCGTGTGTTAGCATATTAGAGGGGTTCCTGCCCATGCTGGTGCTTGAGTGGTGTTAGATTTAGAGGCGGCTTCCTGCCATGCCTGGTGCGCGTTGCAGTCGTGTTAGATATTAAGAAGGGGCTCCTGTCATGTCTTGATGCCTCGTGTGTTAGATATTAGAGGGGTTCCTGCCATGTCTTGTCGTGCTTAGTTTGTTAGATATTTAGAGGGTTCCTGCCATGGTCTGGCTGCTATGTGCTTAGATATTAGAGACCTTCCTGCCATGCCGTGGTGCTATGTGTTAGATATTAAGAGGGGGCTTACCTGGTTCATGCCCTGATGCTCTGCTGCTTAGACTCATTAGCAGGCGGTTCCTGTTCATGCCTGGTGCCATGTGTTAGATATTAGAG